AACCATAATACTTTTTCTTAATTTTTTTTTTTCTGCTCTTTAAATTTTTTTTTCTTTTAGTATTTATTATTTATTGTGTTTACAATATTTACTGTTAATACTTGTTATAAAACTGCATTTTGAAATTTTTTCAGAAAGAGAAGGAGTTGCCCCGTATCTGTGGGGTGTTAAATTTTTAAAACATGATTTTTTTCTTTTTTTCATCGTCAATACTTGATTTTTGTATTCAAAGTTTATTTGATATTTGCAAAAAAAAGTAATTATAGAGTAATTTTTTGTTTTTACTTTTATATAGATATTTTTAAGTATATTTAAAAGGTGGTGGTGGTGGTGGTGGTGGGGGATTATCCCACTTTATACACATTATGGCTACATGTGTGGCACATATACCTTTTTTGTCTGGAGTGTATTTCAATTAATATATTACTTGAATTAAAACTATTTTAAAGAACTAACCTAAAAGTTCTACTCAAGTTCTAAGAATTAACATAAGTTGTTTACTTCATGTAAAAACACAGAACCATAATATAACCTTCAACGACATGCTTTAGAATACTCAAGTGAAAATAAGTTTTATTTGGGTAGCTAAAATTTGGACTCTACAAGGCTATCAAAACCTTTGTTAAAAAATTAAAATTTAGTATACTCAATTAATATCTTTTATAATGCCAGTACAAGATACCATTTCTGGATGTAATTACTTATACCGGCAAAGTGTCAGCATGTCGGTGTATAAAAAAGTAAAAATACTTAAGAAATAGTTTAAGATTTTAAGTAGCTGCAAAATCTCAACTTTTTTAAACATTTGATAATGTGTTGTAGTATGCTTAATTATAAACTTAATAAATCAGAACTTTTTTTTTTCGAAAAAAATTTGGTTTGATTTTAAGTAAGGAGGAGGCTGGAGAAGAGGTTGAGAAGGCTGGAGACGAGGCTGCAGTCTCTAAACGGTTTTTATGACATTTATATTCATACAATTGTTTTTATTTTAAAATATATTAAAACAAGTCATTACAGTTATGACATTTTATTGGCTTAATCATATAAAAATAAATGCTAACGTTCATACATACATACATACATACATACATACATACATACATACATACATACATACATACATACATACATACATACATACATACATACATACATACATACATACATACATACATACATACATACATACATACATACATACATACATACATACATACATACATACATAAATACATACATACATTCACTTATAATTAAATTTTTTGTTAGACAAAATCTGCGAATATGGAATCAGTTCGAATTTCACATGAGCACGATTTACCAAACGCAAACTTTACTGACTTATTCAAAAAAGTAACTGTGTCAATACCAAGATTGGTTGTACACGTGCCTTCACCGCTAAGGCAGGTTTCGTAGAAATTTGTGTCTTGACACGTGACATGGCTGTGAACACGCGGCGAATAACTAAAAGAAATTGTTTGAACATATTGAGAAAAATAATTTTGCTTTGCGTTTAATCTAAATTTACTCATGGACAAATTACTTGATTAAAATCATAAATTTTTTGAACTTGCAACTTTTTTAAATTGATTTCAAAAGTTAATATATATATATATATATATATATATATATATATATATATATATATATATATATATATATATATATATATATATATATATATATATATATATATATATATATATATATATATATGTATATATATATATATATATATATATATATATATATATATATATATATATATATATATATATATATATATATATATATATATATATATATATATATATATATATATATATATATATATATATGCTTTAGTTAGAAAAACTATATTAAATTAGGTTTTTTTAACTAAAGCAAGAGTTTGTCAAAACTTCTACATTGAAAACAGGTCGATTAGGTTATTGCAAAAACGTTGATAAAGCAGTTAATTTTGTTTTTAATGTTGTTTGTCATTTAGTTAAAAAGACGTTGATTAAACGTTGCAATATAACGTTTGAAAAGCATTTTTGAACAGCGTTGCGGAAATGTTGACAATGCATTTGTTTTTGCTAAAACATGTAACATTGTTGAAAAAATGTTGTAACATCACAACATCACGTTGAATTAACATTTTGATTGTGTTGACAAAAATTCAAAATAATAGTAGGTCTTGCAAAAAAAGATCTTGCAAAGAAAATAATGTAACATTACTATACAAAGAGTTTTAAGTAAAATAATGAACGTTACCTTCCCGGAAGTGTTACAGTGTGGACGCACTCTCTGCACAAATTATAAGTCGTTTTTGCTTGATTTAGAGTTTTTTTAGGAGTGCAACAATCAATAGAGTTACAAAAAGCAATAATTGTTCCTGGAGGCATTCCGATTGGATTTCTCCATGATAATGTTTGTCTTTTCTTACAAATAGAAACCAATTTTTTATTCAAAGTTTTCTTGCGAACCTCAAAAAACTTTTTGAGCGGATGTTTAATAACTAAAACAATAGAAATAATTATAACAATCATTAAAAATAATAATAACAATCATGAAGCTATTAGTATAGCAGCAAGTATCATATTTAACTTTTACTTAAATAATAAATTAACTGAACTTGATAAAAAAAAATTGTTTCAATTAAAATTTTTAACTTCAAATAAAACTACAACTACAAATAAAAAAAGAGGTGAAAAATATTTTGAAAGCCACCTTTTTTAAGATCTTTAGGTGCTCCAAGAAGTTCTAACGGTTATCACAGAGTACCGTAAATAGCATTTAACCCAGTAGGTTCACGTCTCCTTCCTTACCAATGATGTATATATGGCCAGAGCCGGCTTCGAACAACGGACCTCCAGTTCTGAAGCCAGAACACTAACCGATACATCACTGTATTTTAGAGTACAAAATAAAGGATTTAAATCATAACATTTACTTGCTTATTATTACTTAAACTATCTAACATTTAATTATGTTAATTTTTTAAGTTTATTATTTTTTAATTATAGAAGCATAGTTAAGTAAAAATAATAAGTATAAAAAACAGTTTGTTTAATATACACCTATAGAGATATTTTTCATTAGAATTGAAAAAGTCAAAAAAGTAGCATTTTTTAAAGAAATAAGATCCTGACATTATTTGATTCAAAACTGTCTTAGACAGGGTGGCGCTAAAGTCACAAATCCGTTTAACTTTTTTAATTTTATAAACAGAAAGACAGGTCTTGGAAATAAAATTCATTTGAATTTGAAAATAGAATTCTTTAAATATCCACCTGACTTAACAGACCCAGACTTCTTTTTATTTGGGTATTTAAAAAAGTATATCAACTATTCAGCAATTGAACGCTATTATTTGTGAAGAAATTCAAAACATATACGAATAAACATTACAACAGGTGATGGTTTGCCCTCTAGAAAGAGCGCGTCAGTGTAAAGACCAAAATGGTGACAATGACGGTCAGTTGGTTTCAGAATTTTGTGAAATTTTTTCTTTCAAAAATGTCTTAAAAGTTTTATTGTCAGACAAGATATAATAGCAGTAGCATCATCTTGCTGCTACCATACCTCTGGCTTGTCCTCGACCGAAGGGCACACGCAACTCTAGCATTTCTTTATGTCTTTCACCATAAACAGTTGGTGTATTTTTTTAAGCTTTATTTATTTCCTATTAATATTATTATTTTTTTGCTGATTCATACATTAACAATAAACACATATTACATAGAAAAATATTGGCCGGAGCAAGAAGAAGACATTTGCTGTCTTACTACCAAGTCCCGTTTACATATTGTGCGTGTTTATAAACAAAATATAAAATATACACAAAACGTTAAAAATACAACTTTTTTTAATTAATAAAATATTTTTTATACTGTTTTTAAATAAAAACAAAGTTTTTTTATTTGATAAATGTTTAACAATATATATTCAGTGATAATGAAAAGGTTTTTTCTATTTTAAAATCATCTTTTAAAAAGAATATTTAAATCCTATTGTATTATAATCAAACTGAAATAAGAATCTTATAGACTTTGTTTTAATTTTCTCTAGTGAGAAGTGTTTTTTATTAAACCTTTTAATAGAGTTTTTCTATAGAAAAAAAAAAGTCCTCGATATTGAATTCTAAAGGAACTCATTTTTAAAATCATTCTTGGAACAATAATGTTATTCACTGAAAACTTTCTCCGATATTTATGAGATATTTCGCTTAAGTAAGATTGAAAAATAACTAAGATATTTTCTCTGTGATTTTAAACATGAAAAGTAATATTTGATAAATGTTTAGTTTACAAATATTTAAGGCCTTGAGACGATTTAATAATGGTAATGCAACACACAGTTCTATTTGCGCCAAATACAATCCTACCAGCATGCTTTTATTTTCTATAAAGTTTTCTTAGTTTTCCGTCATGCGTACTTACGTCATGCGTACTTATGTCATGCGTACTAACGTCATGCGTACTTACGTCATGCGTACTTATGTCATGCGTACTTACGTCATGCGTACTTACGTCATGCGTACTTATGTCATGCGTACTAACGTCATGTGTACTTACGTCATGCGTACTTACGTCATGCGTACTTACGTCATGCGTACTTACGTCATGCGTACTTACGTCATGCGTACTTACGTCATGCGTACTTACGTCATGCTTACTTCTCTATGCAATATTGCAGTAAGAAAGAGAGCTGTGAATAAATGAAAATAAACTTTTATTAGAGCTCTAGTATTCAAAAATAGTTTTGTTTTGCAAAGTACGAAAATACTTTCAGAGATTTTACTTTCAATAAATTGGATGTCGAACTTCCATTATAAGTTTTCATCTAGAATTACTTCTAAAAAGTCAGCAGTAGATTCTCTTTTAACATCTGTTTTATTAAATGAAAGATTGGAGAGTTTAATAGAATATTATCAACTTTATTTGGTTTGTGGTTTTCTGCAACATCTTCAAAAAAAAATTGCTTAGGAACTCATTCTGCATGTACACAACACCAAACCGTTATTTTTACAAGAGTTAGAAAATGTTGGTGGACTATTTTTAAATTATCTGCGCCCCAAGATTGCATATTTTGTTTATTAACATAACCGTTTAGGTGGAAATGAGCCTCATTGTCAATTATAAGATTGTTATGGAACTCAGGTTCATTTCTTGCCAATTCTTGAAAATAGATAGCATATGCTATTCGTCTCTAATAATTTTTCGGGCACCAATTTCTGCACCATCTGTATCTTATACAGAATGAGTTTCAGAACCCTTTAAACCCCTGGAACAAAGAGGGTTTAAAGAATTTCAATTGTCAGGTCATACTCAGGGAGGCTATACTACAAAATGCTATACTCAGGGAGAAAACCTTCGTTAAAAAACAAACAAACTAAAATATATTAGTTTAAATTTTTAAAATGCGTTCCCACTGTTAAAAGTCACTAAAAAATTCAATTTGTTTTGTCTTAAATGTTGCAAATCTCTCTAAACAACATTTTATTAACCTATTGTTCAACTTTTTTTTCCTTCTTTAACAAAAGTCAAATTTAAAGGCAATAAAATTGAAATATGTTGGCGCAAAGTTATTGCCGCTGAAATAATCTAAACAAATAAATAGGCCTTTCTGTTAAAAATTAATTTTGTTTTTCTTTTTCAAAAAATGTCTAATTCAGCAAAAACTCATGGCGGTTGCAGAAAATCTGTTTGTTTTTTGTGTTTGAAGAAAAGTGATAGCGCATTAACTTTTTTTTTTTGATTGAAAGAGTCAAGAATATTTTTAAGTGTAATAATTTCAATGATGAGAAAGTTCCGACTGGCATTTGCAATTTATGTAGAAGCAAACTACAATGACTTGATACTGTTAGTATTGTTGGACAAAATACCAGACTTGTACAATTTCAATTCAATTATCATTAAGCCATCGGTAGGATAACTTGGTGCTTGCCAGTGTATAATTTTTAGGTTGACCAAATCAAAGGTGAAAGAAGATTGAGCTTGATGTATTGAATTAAAAACCAAAAGTCTACCCTGAAACTAACTGTATCAAAGCTTTCAGTCCCAAACCTTCATCATCATAGCCAGCTAAAAAAAGATGCACTATTTGTTTGTCAGAACTTGCGAAAAAATCCTCTTTTTATATATATATATATATATATATATATATATATATATATATATATATATATATATATATATATATATATATATATATATATATATATATATATATATATATATAATATATATATACATATATATACATATATATACATATATATATATATATATATATATATATATATATATATATATATAATATATATATATATATATATATATATATATATATATATATATATATATATATATATATATATATATATATATATATATATATATATATGTACAAATACTCTTTATTAAAACATAATTTTGAATTGAGAAAAGGTATATTAGTTTGTGATATTTGTAAAAGTTAAGGCAAATTTTGTAAAATTTTATGAAGAATGCAATATCTCAAGATAGCTTTGTTGATTTGTTTCAAAACTTTACCATTACAAAAATCCAATATTGATGTAAAATTTGTACTAGATTCATGTACATATAGTTTAGAAATAATTGTTTACCATAACATACAAATTATATTGCCAAACAGTTAGAAATCAATAACAATAGTCTAAATTCAGACTTCTACTTCAACTCATACAAAAAAATTTTATTTTTTATAGTACCTTGTTATGCTATGATAGGTTATAATGCATAAGTTGGGGTTTGGCATAAATTGAAATGTACTATTTCTATCTAAAAATTAGCTAAGAAACATTTAACTTATTTTGTACTGTTTATAATCGCATGTTATAATCTTTAGTGTTAATTGCACTGTACACGTGGTATGTACACGTGATTCGTAATAGTAAAAGTAGTAGACAAACACAGACATTGTTATAAAAATGATTTTCCTGAAATATTTCTGAAGTAATTGTCAACAGAGAGATTAAATGAACTTTATTTGATTTTTCAAAGTATAATTAAAGCGTCTTACTTCTCTGAAAAGAAATTATCCTGAGGATTTGCTATGGGTTTACATTTTTTACAAAGAAAATTAGGCCTTTTTAGTGGGTATTTATTCTGGAAGTCTTTAACTAAGTCTCAGTAATAAAAAGTTTTATTAATTATCTCAACAATTACTAATCAATTTTTTTTAGCCTTTAACCTTTGCGTTCAGAAAGTCTGTGCATAACAGGGGCGCGTCTATGTGATGTCTGCTACGTCGTCGGACGTACCCAAAAAAATTTAAATTAAAGCTTTTCAACTTGATTATGTTGCCGAATAAATTTTTACTATATGTAACTATTAAAACCAAACTAAAGCTAAACCTAAGCAAGTTATGCACGGTTAACTATATGAAACGGTTGGAAAAAAATTAAAAACCGGAAAGCATAATAGTAGATCGGTTTTAATTATAAAAAAAATAATAATTACAATATTTGGATGGAGGTTATACCTTTGACTT